ATGTGGTGGTCGTGTCCCAACACCGATAGTGTCTTGTTGTATTGCGATGGTGTGTTGCAACATCGAATTGTATCCCGGTACGTTGGGTTTATCGTTTGGCGACCAACTTTTGTTGCATTACAACTGCAATAAACATTTGTTGGAAAACGATCACTCCAATGAGCACGTCGTTATTGGGCTTTCTCATTAAAAGGTAGGTCGCGGCGGGTGTTCCGGCTAGTTATTCTGAATGGTTTGGTGGTTGTCTAGTTTCAAGCGCGCGAGGCTGTGTGTACTGTGTGCCGTACTAACAGCTGTACATACTTGCACTGTCGATCAATGTTAATGTGTTCGCAACGCAGAACGTTTATGTTATGTGTGTATCCACACCCAATATATTTTTCGCGTATTGCTGTGTGGATATGCCAACGTAATGCATGTTGGTAACTTGGTACCCGCGTTCTGAGATATATGCACGCGATATCATATTGTATTCTCCTTTGGTCCCATGATCGACGACCCATATTTGTATATCGTGTGGCCGTACAGTATGTCCATGTCGGTCACCAATATGCACGCGATGTCGTATTCTATTCCAATAACCGTGTAGTATAAGGGGTATTGTGCTCCGATATCGTGTTGTATACCCCGATATACCGCAAGTTATATCGGGGTATACAACACGATATCCCGATATACCGCAAGTTATATCGGGATATTGTGCTCCAATATCCTGTTGTATACCAATAACCGCATACTATATCGGGATATTGTGCTCCGATATGAATTCCCATCGTGCGTATTGGGTTAATCGGATAACAATAAGTTTTTATTGGTTTCCATCATCTTCATTGGAATACAATATTTCCAATAAGCCGAGTTCATATTGGCCTTTTTCAATAGGGTAGAGGAGCATCAAGTTAATTTTCGGCCCGTTCAAGGTATTTGTTCTTTCTTTTTGTATTGAGTGTCATGGGTTATAGAATAAAATCTTGTTTTCTTTGCAGCTTCGTATCTGCGATTATCTCCCCTTGCTTCCGAACCAAGATCCCAATGATAAGCTCCGCCAGTGCATTGCGGGGCAGTAGGCAGGCAAGAACGAAAGAGAAAGAAGGCATTTCGTATACGTTTTGTGGAACTGAAAGCGTGAGACACATCAGAAGAGGCTCTTATCAGAATCATTTCGCATAGGCAGCGGCCAGTCTGCTATGCACATCCTGTGTAGCAGTCAGCCTTTGTAATCAACGTGAGCTTACCTGATCACACAAGTATAGAAAACGTTCCGGGCAGCAGTCGGGTCTAAATATTTTCACACAGGGGCAGAGACCTGCTCTATGCGTTGACGAAACGCGCCGCGATCATCTCAATTCCAGTACCTCTTCTTGATTCGCCAGTTAGCGACGAGCAGTTCGATTATAGGATGAACACAAAGTACTCCTCATGTAGGATTTACTAATTACTGGCAATGGCGACCCAAGTGAAATTTTTTGTAAGTGGTACCACTTGCTGGTGGTACCACTTGCAACCAGTACCATTGTCATATAGATGCACAAAAACAAGGCCAGATGTTAGTCTTTCTCACTTTCGATTTGCAGTTGAGACTGCTTGTAGAGCAGAAGTACCTGGGCTTATGAAGATTAAGAATCCTCAAAACCCAGGCCCCTCAGAGGTTTTCGGAAGTCGTGGATCTTTTGTGACAGGACTGTCGACATGTTAGTTTTGAGTTGCTGAACAAGCACCTTGTTCCGATGTCCCCAATGTTGCACTGTTTCAGCGAAGACAAGAGAAAAATACTAATCTACTAACAGCTCATGGGGATACAGTCATATGTTTGAACAGATTGAATTTATTTACCTATGACGAGGCCAGCATTGAAGGGACTCAGTTCCTTCCGGACCACAACATTTATTTTGTTTGTCCTTCAATTCCACCTTGCCCCCCCCCCCCCCCCCCCCCCCCCCCACCCCCCCTAAGTCCTTCGGGCATGTCCCAGGCGACCTCAAATCGCTTGCGCCATGTCTCTGGCTGGTTGTTTTGGTCTGCTTCATTATTTTTTCTCATTGATAGGAGCCGATGGTGGTGCCCCGATTCACGTGGTACTGTGGATCAAAAGGGTATCGTAGCTTTGGCAGTGGTTAACACCAAATCCACAATTCACGCAAAGCCAATCGTCGCGTTGAGTTGTTTCGTGCCACCTAGGCGTTCGTGTGTGAAAAGTTCGATGCTCCAGAGTCATTACTCTCGATGGAATCGATCGCGCGCTGGTCGTTATGCAACTGGGCAGGATAGGCAGATTTACTCAGGAAGGAGCACACTCACTTGAGGCTTGGTGGCAGAGGAAAACAAAGAAAAAGTGAGCCTTGTTTTCTTCTGCGGAAATTCGTCATCAGTGACTCTCACCAATCAACATCGAATCTGTGTTTGCTGCGTTGTTGACGTCACTTCCTTCTCCCTAGTCGCCGTGGAAGTTCAAAAAGCGCGACATAGGGCCCCAGGTATCGACGACATTCTGAGGGCAGTGCGTGAGCACCACATGCCCCATGAAACATTCGAAGAGCGAAATCCATTGCTTTTAGCGAATTTCCGACTTCCCTGGTTTACTCAAGAAGTCTTGAGGAGGTTTGATGCTGAATCCGCCGTCCATCCCGTCGTCAAAAGAATGTGGAGTCCTCGATGGATCCGGCGGGTTGGGAAGAAACGTCCAATCATCTGCGCTGCTCTCATGAGACTCTTTATTCAAAATGATGATGATGATAAAGAAGTTAAGGGAATGAACAGATAGCATAGAAGAAGACGAAGTTATCCGAATATATGAAAATATAACAATGAAGGCACAACACCCACAACGGGTACACGCAGTACACGTGGCAAATGACTCCTTATCTTCCTGGATCGTGATTGGACCTCCGGCGGTAGTGTCGGCTAATGTCGCATTCTCATTGGCTGTGAAGGGATGATGAGCATGTCATGCATCCAACAGAACATAAAAACAAGAACAAGCATGTCATGCATCGAGCAGAACATAAAAAGAAACTAACAAAGAAAACAATCCAGCTCGAGAGGGTACAAATGACAGCCACTTGGAAATTAATATTTCTTCAAAAATAAAAGAGTAAATGAAAGTACGAAAATAAATAGCAGCGACATTTGCCTCCAACGTTCTACAGGGTGAAACAACGAGACGGCAGGCTCTTTAAATCGACCGGAAAATTCGGTTTCCTAACCTATCACGCAACGACTTTGTGCAGCGTTGCCCACAGATGGTGCATTTTTTTTTTCTTGTAAAATTTGCAAAGCACGAACTTACCTGAGGAAAAAGTAAACAAAGAAAAAGCTTAGGTTCTATGGAAACGCAGCGACGCCACCCAACACCACCTAGACAGAAGGCCTCCGCATGGTTTCCTCTTCTATGAAACGTCATCACAGTCGGATCGCGCTCGGTCGGCTACTGGACCCGAGCCCGACCTTCGACGCGCTGATTGGCCACGAGCCGCAGCCGAACACTGACGCAGCACCCGTGCCCAATCTCTCGCCTCGATCGATCTGACTATGATGACGCGTGTGGAAGCCTTCTGTCTAGGTGGTGTTGCGCCACTGGTCTTCAAACAACACGGCGCCGTTTTGCACGGGAGACAAGAGATGGCGCAACGAACGCCGCCAATGAACGAGCATACGGCGCCGAGAGCCGGCACTTCAGCAGACGATCCTTTCGACTCAAAAGCGGCTCGCGTTCCGCAGGCGGCGACAGTCGCAGAAACAAAAACAGGCACGGTAACAACAAGGAACAGCAGTTCCTTGTCTGCTAAACACGCCGGCTCTCGGCGTCGTCTGCTCGGTCGTTGGCGGCAGTTGGCGTCGCGACCGCTTGCGCCATCTCTTGCCTCCCGTGCGAAATGGCGCCGTGTTGTTTGCAGACCGATGGCGTCGCTGCGTTTCCATAGGAGCTAAGCCTTTTTCTTTCTTTAATTTTTCCTCAGGTAAGTTCGCTCTTTGCAAAATTTACAAAAAAAAAATGCACCATCTGTGGGCAACGCTGCACAAAGTCGTAGCGCGATAGGTTAAGAAACCGAATTTTCCGGTCGATTTAAAGAGCCTGCCGTCTCCTTGTTTCACCCTGTATAACGCATTGTTCAATGAACGATTATGTGAATTTGTTTGAAATACGTTCTACAGTCGCTTCGGGGAGCGGAATACGAAGATGCGAATAATTACTTGCCATCAGCCTACTCTACAACGTCACCATTAAGGGCAAACGGTGACTGCTTTGACTCTGATGAAAGAAAAATACATATCGGAGCTCAACATCGAGAAGGAACGGAGAGTTGCGGTGTCCTGACTCAGCCCTCGTTTTGAAAAGCTGCACTCTAACAAACAAGCTCACTTTAGTTTTTACAAACAGTCAGTGCCGCTAAAATGGTTTGTTTTTTATGCGATGGTTGGTAACCCGGTTGACTGACACTATATAAAAGTTCAAATGGTGAGGGTGAGACGCTGAAATTATATCTCACAGTCCAGTTCAACAAAACTTTAAGGCCCGTTCACACTCTTGCGACCGACCTCGACCGAGAGGAACCAGACCGGTTTTTAAGCCTTTTGCGACTTCTTAGGACCAGATGCGATGCACCGGAGCTGGTCCTAAGAAGTCGCAAGAGGCTTAAAAACCGGTCTGGTCTCTCTCGGTCCAAGTCGGTCGCAAGAGTGTGAATGGGCCTTTAGTGTATGTAGTCTGGTACCTACGCGCGACTTCTTAGGACCGGAGGGGCTAAAAACCGGTTTCTAAGCATGTTGTGACTTTTTATGACCGCCCTCCCAATCATATGTTGTCGCCGGTGTAAGAACCAGTCTTATGTTCTTTAATACTCATTGTTGATGAACTTAAATCGAAAAGATTGTGGCACGGCGAAAACTCAAGTGGCAAGGGGGGGGGGGAGGAATTAATATTTTATTTTTCATTCTTGATTGGTTGCATTGAACGTTTAGCGTTTTCCACATTAAACTTGAATGAATAAATGAATGAATGAATGCCTCATTCAGTTTGTTCATTGGTAATGTCGCCGTTCTCTCGTAACTACATAATTGTTCTTGGCTTTGACACCGCTGAACCTCCCTTTGGCCCTGAACAAAATGGAGTCTTCAGACTGCTTCTCTACGTAAGGATGTTCCAGAACTCCGACAGGGAAAAAGACCCACAACCAGTTATCGCCTCTTTTAAAATATCCGCCGAAATATCCCGTCAGATACATCAGGGCGTCCCATGGAACGTCCTGAAATAGATGGAAAGAAAATATCACCGTGTGTAGTTAAAAGAAAACATGGAGCCAGACACTCGACATGTCCCTTCTCAAAAATGCGCGCCATCTGGTGTCTGCTGAGTCAATTATCCGAGTTCACCACTGTTTGGGAACCCACTCTAAGTACGAATTGAGCGCGTCGTCTTTCGTTGTTAACTTGGCTCAGCCCATGTCGTAAACGAGTGCTGCGTGTCAGTGCTTGTAAAGGAGTGCGTTCCAATCATACTCCTCGGTTCCAGGAAACGGGGAACGTCAATGTTGTTTCACGGACTTTGGAAAAGGCTTGATTTTCAATAAAGTACATTCAATACACCATTTTTGTGTGCCCAGTTTGGGGCGTTTGATTGGAAGCCAATTGAAAAAGTAAGCAGTGAAGCGCCGTTCTTGGGCCAGCCGTTTGTAGTCATAGCTATAGTCATCTTCGCAACTAAAGCTAAAAGGAGAGTTCCAAATTATTTCATTAAACGTGCGTCTAATTTGGTACGATAGTTCTAACACTTAATTATTATTATTTTTTTTTTACGATGCCAAAATTTTGGGGCACATCTTTGTATCTGTGGCCTGCAGACCGCACCTTTGTAAAGGAAACAATGCAATTTTAAGTCAGATGCCTTCCACGAGTTCAAGCCTTTACGACACTCGGGAATACTGCCGCGCGCGCAGCTGGCCAAGTAGGGAGCGCGCGCGTGGCCTAACGGTTATCGTACCTGCCTTCCACGGGTAATAGCCAGGGTTCGATTCCTGGGAGCGACGCACCTTTTGTTATTCCTGCAATTTAGTTTTCTGGTAATTCGAGAATCGTGTTCGAGGTCCGAATGTTCTACGCGTCGAACATTTTACGCCGATTAGTCCAGAAGCTTAAGCATGTACTATCGTGGACACTGTTAGCTTTAACACGGCAGCGGCGGCCGTCCCGTACCCCCAGCGCCCCATAGCAGGCGCCGTCTGAATCTCCGCGCATGCGCCGTGTGGCGGACTCGCTCTTCCCTTTTGCGAGCACACCCTCGCTTTGTCGTCTGCTAGGCACAGAGCAGACACCACAGCGCTCGCCAATTTTCGCTGAACACGGTTCAGCGAACCACTGCGTAAGAGGTGCCCACGGTTGATTCCCTGACTTCACTAGCTAAGGATAATCATCGCCACTAAATGTAATATCACGGTTGATTACGTTTTTTTATGGGACAAACTTACAGTTATACTCCGTTTCACTTTAGGTCTAAGCACAGCGGACGCTGCGAGACGATAGGACCAACCAAGCAGCGACAAAATCACTTTTTGCACCTTATTGGGTCACCCGGTGATGCACTCCGTGACGTTGCACCTTTGCCGCTATTTGATTGGCTCCGTCGTTTCGTAGCGTACGATGCGGTCGGACTTAAAGTGAAACGGAGTATAACAGTCTCTCTCTGCATCACACCTGCTGCGCTCATACTGGTTTGCGAACGCATATTGGTAAAAAGGCTTGCGCACGCCTGTTTCTGAAGAAGCAAAAAAAAAAAAAAATAATAATAATAACTTAAACAGGAGTAGTGCTTTGATGACTCTGCAATCTGCCCCAATAAAAATCGCCAGTTGGAAATTAGTTTGAGACCAGTTCACTATGGCGAGGGTACCAGACGAGTAGCACTGTGGCATCGCATGCTCTGCGCCTAGCAGACGACAAAGCGAGGGTGTGCTTGCAAACGGGAAGAGCGAGTCCGCCACACGGCGCATGCGCGGAGTTTCGGACTGCACCTGCTATGGGGCGCTGGGTTTACGGGACGGCCGCCGCTGCCGTGTTATAGCTAACAGTGTCCACGATAGTACATAAGGTGCTCCGCGTATCGAACCGGAGTCAGTCTCGCCCCAGCGCTCGGTCCTGCGGTTTCGCCGACATCGACGCCTGCGACGCTATCCTGCATTCTTCTGTTTCCTTTTCCTTTTATTAATTTGGGCACAAGTTCGTCCCATTAAACGTCTCGTTTGCTTCAGTTTTCGTCGCCTCATCTCTTGTCATTCGTGACAATATCACGCTTCTTTATCTTGGTAGGCAGAAATGCAATATATTGCGCAAGTTCTCCCCTAGGACTCAAATGCAAAACAGACTCGTCGGGCCCAGAAATAAAGGTTCCTATATGGTTGTAGCTAGCGATAATTGATCCTGTAATATTACCGTCTTTTTCTTTTTCTTCCGGGGGATATAACAATGTTCGCGGTTGCCGACCATAAATCTTTCTCTTTTACCTTTTTTTTAGGGACGTATGTTCCAGCTTTTTGGGGATGTATACAGGGTGTTCTCTAGCGTTATGCGGGCCGTAAAACAAATTGTATAAATGCGTCGTTGAGCAGAGTGTGACGGGCATTTTCACAGAGGTGTATTTAGGTGGAAGGTTGATCCTATACTAAAAGTTTGTGAGTGTAGGTTTCTAAAAAAACAAAATGCAATAAAAAAGACCTTCCGTGTGTGTGTGCGTGTGTGTGTGTGTTTGTGTGTGCGTGTGTGTGTACGCTCGCGCGCAGGGGAGAAACTGGAGCAAGCCGTCGGGTTGATAATGGTACTCACATAAGGCACCACACGGTACAAAAACTCGAAAAACAGAACCAACCCAACGGTTTGGTTTTGTCTTTCTCCCACTCATACAAAATAAGTGTTTTTTTTTGTATTTCTTTGCCAGAAATTTGCACTCGCCAATTTTATGTAGGATTAATGCATTAGCTAAATACACCTTCGTGTAAAGTTCTATGGCATTCTGTTCAATGGTTTATTTAAAATCAAATTATGTCCTAATTGCGCTCGAGAACAGAATATGTACGCTGGGTTTCCGTAGACAACCGTTGTGGCTTTCAGCACTGAACCGTTAAACGCAGTTTGGATCTTTATGAAGCATATAGGCAGCATAAAGACCATTTAAAACTAAAATAAAATTAGTTTTATTTGCACCCGCATGTACACATGCACAGCCTCGAGCAAAAAAAGAAAAAAAAAAAAAGCCAATCTTTGTTGGCTTGACAACGTCCAGAAAACGAGTGTTTGACAGATGATGACGGAGATCCATCAAATAGTCGAAGTATCATGTATATACAGATAATGCATTAGCTGAACGGTTTACTTAAAAGTATACAAATACTACGAAAAAGTAGGTATACAGTGATTTTTGATGTAAAATATAAATGCCAATGCTAGCTATAAAATGTTGTTTGAGTAATCTAGGTAGGTTATAACGAAGAAATTGCAAACTGCAATTTGTGCGATTATGAGATATTCCATAGTGGAGTTCTTCCATAGCGAGATATCTTCTATATAACCACCCAACGATGGTTAGGGTGGTGGTTTTATGTATCCGTTTAATTTGATGTACGCTTAAAAAGCTAGTCACTTCGGGTGATGAAAAACTAGTGTACCTGGAGAATTTCGTATTCTGAAAATGATGATTTTGTTTGGAATAAGTAATAAAAGTTTCCAATAAAGCGGAAAGCTTTCTTTTGAAGTAGTCGTTTGTTATTAAAATTTGATTTTGTCTTCGTACCCCAGACAATATGACAATTATTTATTTGAGAGTAAAATACTGTATTATACAATTTCATATTTACGGGAAGAATGGCACGATATCTAGCAAGAACACCGACAATTTTGCATAACTTACTGATAATATGCTTTTATGATAATCTCAAGACACATTTTCTGAAGATATAACGCCTACTCTTTCATGTTTTTTCGCCAGTTCAGTCAGCATAGGATTAAACTGGAGAGGTTTGTTTAGCGTGACATGTTTACTGATTGATCGAAATAAAATTGCCTATGTTTTTGTTTCATTATTCTTAGGTACGCTCGACTTTGACTACTTTGCGAATTTCCAGATCATTCTATTTCCTTTGATATTAACGTTCTCCTATTTCGCGTCAGAGAGGAACAGAGTGGTGTCGACTCGTCAGTATACATTACACAATAAATGTCATTGACAATATTGATATACAACAGGGTGATACCACATCTGATCGGCATAATAGATAAAAAATAATCATTAATGCGCGCACAATGCCTACGACCTGCTAAGTATCAAGGTAAATCTGAAAGGAATGAACACGTACTAGAGAATAATCTCGGTAAAGATTAATCTTGATACCAAGTTATTTCCATCCATATACCGAGTCACAAACTAATCTAAATAGAGCAGGTGAGTGGGGACAACTAACAGTCGGTTTAAGAAGTAAAAGTTTACGTTTTTATAGCTCGATAAGGCTGACAAAGACCGGGACACGCCGGAAGCGTCGAGCTGCGTACACATGAACTGTGCGATTTTCGTACGTTGTATGTGTGTGATGGAAGTGGGTATGATGTGCGTGGGACTAGCGCAACCACACGCTTCATCCGTATGGTAGCCCAACACATATTGTATTTAGGCTATTTGTCAGCATCATATCAAGTTAGTATTAATTCGTCATCACTGTTAAGGACACCAGGAAAAGATTTGGTGGTGGTTCATTTACGATTGTTAAACTTGTTGGTTGGTTGCCTTCATCGGAAGACAAGACGCGTGGACCTCACTAACGAGCAAGGCGAAACCAAGGAATTTAGAAGCCTGGACCCACCCGAAAGGACAGGCACAACGTAGAAGGCAAATCCTGAATTCACTGATAAGATTTATCAGGACATCAGGGGTCAATCAGTTCATCTAACCCAATAATCATCATAATCCTCTTTCCCTACAACCCTCCACAATCCCCCTCCCTCTTGCCTCATGTTCACCAGACCATAGGCAGGCGAACCTTTCTTATCGATTAAGACACGATTTCAATCAATCAATTCCAACCCGAAATTAAGACCAACTCAAAGCGAGTCGAGCTCCCCACGACTTCAAGATGTCCATATATATTTTTATATATACAAACATAAACATAACGTAACGTGCGATCACATGACATTCATTTCCCCGCCAAATTTAGCGGGGAAACTGAATGGGTATATAGGTCACGTGATATCAGGTCACCTAACACCAATTTTCACGCCAACTTTAGAGGTGAATTCGAATTCAGGTATAGGCGAAGTGACATCACTTTTCAATCTAAATTTAGCGGAAAACGTATAGACGGATGGACGGATGGACGGACGGACGGACGGGAAACATTTTGGGATTGGGGGGTACCGTTAAAATTCATTTCATGCTTTAACAAATAGAAGGGTTCAAGATACGCACCATCACTTCTTCGGCAATGAGCCATTGAACTCTGACCGTCGACTCTGGGGGTATAGAGACAATTTGGTTCAGGCTGTACGTGGTTTCTGTGGTCTTAGTCTCTGAACTTCCCCATAAAGTCGAGAATTTGATCGACATTTCGGTACGGAGCCCGAACATTTCTGGTAACCCGGCGCTCCACTCTCCCTTCAGCCCGGTGTCGATTCCTCTTTCCACCGTGTACGTGTAGGTATTCTGGTGCTTAAACTCTCTGCTAATGGTCGCGGTGTTGTTGCGATCCGGCTGCCCGTTGTGGAAGAGCTGCGTGTAGGCAACCATGGGCTTCGTCGAAACCGTTTCCGCTTGTAGAAAGGTCAGTTCGGACATCTTCGCTGTAACAGGAGGTCTGCGTGTAAAATGAAAACAACGTGCCACGTTAAATACTTTTTCACACCCTCCTTCTGCCATAGTCACTAACCAAGTGAAGAGGGCAGGGGGGATATACCGCTGCACCGCCTCCAGCACGATCTTCCCAGCTTCGACAACGCTTCGGAGGTTCGTCCACCTCAAGTGCCGAAGCACGACGGAAGGCACGAAGGTGCGTGTTGGAGGCCGAACGTTTGCATGACACGTCCTGCCGTTCTTCTTGTGAAGTGGTTCATTTAATGAGATTACCTTATTGGTTAGACAATGAAGCGGAATCTCGTTAATTCTAACCCTCTTAATTCAAACTCGCGGATAATTCAAATTGTCGTGCAGGTCCCGTCCTATCTGTTTCTAGGAAGGCAACTCTCGGTAATTCAAACTTTGCATTGATCGAACAAAGTTCCGGTCCCCCTCGGGCTCAAATTAACGAGATTCCACTGTGTCAAAATACGCTCAAAGCACCACTTAAACATTGGAATGTTCATCCCTTCAAGGCCTTAGTTTGACCGAAAGAAATTACAGCTTGGCCGAATTCTTAAAGTGCAGCTTTGTTTTTACTTCTGCCAGGATTTCCAATTCGATTGAGCGTTACACTTAAACGTATTCGGCTTTAAAAGTCAGTTTGGTTAAATAATTCCACTTTGGCAAGAGCATACCCGAGTTTTTAGCTGCTCAATTAATCTGAAAGATTTAGCTGAACCTCAAACTTTCATTGGCTGTGATGTCCTCATTTTAGTCAGGACACGGTATGCCTACGTTTCTTTCACCGCATGATTGAAAATGAATATTATTTTATTAGCTCAGAAGACGATGCTAAGGTAACAATTGAGAATAGGCCAACTAACGTTTGTCTTTTCTTTTCTTTTTTTTGCCACGTTGCACTTTTCTGCACGTGTCCATGCTCCGGAAACAAAATTATTTATTAACAGGGTGTATTAAAAATTGAGCAATTCATGTTAATAAAATACAGGCTGTAAAACAATATGATCCAATTACAATACAAACAATAATGGCGGAGTCAGAAGATGCGTAAAAAGAAGAAAGAAACAAACTTCCTAATCGAAGTCAATGAGTAATTTATATTGAGGTTCATGCAACGCCATCCGTAAAAAAAGTGGAAGCACTCTGTGCTTTCTATCAAATTAGTCAGAAACTAAATGTACCCCTGTTTTTGACGTAAAATGCACCTAATTTTTGTTTCAAATTGGGACTAAAAGAGGAACGCTACAAGTAATAAAATAATGGACTGCATACCTGTTAGGATTTTCTGGGCGTTTTTTGGAGTCTCCCGTAATATCAAAATCCCATAAGGTGTCACCTCGTTCTTTTGCATAATTATACAAAAACTCCACCGCCACATCTTCTAGATTAAACTGTAGGTCTTTTTCTGAAAGTATGATTAGTTTAGATGAGTGATAAACTAAGTGAACTCCAGAACCTAATAATTTACGAAAACATATGTACAAAAAAGCCTTGATGCGTAATCAGAACGTTTTCTTTCCTTTAGGAGGGGGACTGGGCTCTTCATGGGGGGCGGAGCGCCATGTACACTTACATCATGAGCGCCCTCCCACTCCCCCCAACATGGAGGATAGAAGGGTAGGAGAGGGCAGGACGTCAGCCGCGTAGCCTCCACAAGCCATGCTCCCTTGACGCCTCGCCTCTTTCTCATTTTCCTCCTTACTCTCCTCACTTATCGGCCCAACATGACCACATCACGTGACCGTAGCTAGCCTTCGTCTAGCCTTCGATCTGATAAAACCTACCGGACGGAGCGCGCGCAAGCCTGCAAGGAATCCTCCTACAATCAACCATCCATCTCGCACGTGACATGTAACGCGCACCAATCGCCAGAGAGATCTGCGGTCACGCTGGGCACAATATCGTTTAAACTTTTTGTTATGTATCGAGGTGCGGAGAACGGTGTGAATAAAGACGACGACGACGGCGCTCGGGCAGTCCGAGCCGAGGCTGATAGCCAGCCATACATCACTTCGCGTTCGGTCTCTTAATTAGGATATTTCTAGGAAATATCACATTGGCGACGAGGATGGGATGTATGGCAGGCTATCAGCCTCGGCTCGGACTGCCCGAGCGCTTCGAGATCGGCTAGTCTGTGGCATCAATAATGACCTCATGCAGACCCGACTTTTGGAAGATGCAGAACTGACATTTGAGAAAGCGGTCAAGGTCGTTGTAGCCATGGAAGCCGCGACAAAAGATTCCCAGGCAATCGCGTGCCGGGCTGGGACGACCTCAGCTGTCGAAACCAACCACCTATCAGAGCAGTCATCTAGACTGTCTCGATGTCGTCACAGCGGAAAGTTACACGGCTCAGCAGCATGTTGTTATGCTAATATGACATGCCACAACTGCAAAAAGGTCGGCCACCTCTCAGCGGTCTGCACAGCAAGATCCCATGACGAGTCAAGAAGCGTCAAGAAGGATGGGAAAGCTGCGCGAGACTATCAGAACTCGCCAGGACGACGGTCGAAAAAGGTGCCATCGGCGGTTCCAGTTCACAGCCTCGACGACCCCAACGATCAGGACAGTGACGATGCTCCCCCAACGTACAACATGTGGCAACTGAAAGCATCTCAGTTTCCTCCAATTATTATAACGGTCATTATTCAAGGCAAACCAGTTGACATGGAACTCTACACTGGGGCAGGCGTCTCCGTAATGGAAGAGAGACGTTTACAAGAATTGTTGCCGGATGTGAAGGTTGTCCCCTCCAATGTCGTTCTTAGAGAGTACTCAGGAGAGTTGACACCAGTTCAAGGTTGCGCCGAAATCCTGGTGAAGTACAACGATCGAGAAGTTCTTCTTCCTCTGTTCGTCGTTGGCGGAACTTCCCCAACTCTGCTGGGACGAAACTGGATACAAGCTCTGGGTCTACCTGTTGCTGACGTCGTAAATCTACTTAATACATCAACAGAGGGTCTTTTCAGAAAATTTCCAGAGGTGTTTTCTGGTGGGCCGGGTCTGCAGAAGAACGTGGAAGCCAAGAATTACGTGCCAGATGGATCAAGACCCCGGTTCTTCAAGCCACGACCAGTCCCCTTTCATTGCACGATCTGGTCACTCAAGAGCTTCGACGACTAGAACGGGAAGGAATGTTGAAGCAAGTCAGGACATCTGACTGGGCAGCACCGATTGTCCCGGTACTAAAAAGAGATGTTCGAGTGCGAATCTGCGGAGACTTTAAGGTCACCATAAACGCAGCAGCCCAGGTGGAAACGTACCCGATACCGAGAGTCGAAGAGTTTTGGACAAAGCTCTCCGGAGGCATCAAGTTCTCCAAGTTGGACCTCAAAGATGCTTACCAGCAGGTGGTACTCTCTCCGGCCTCAAGGAAGTACGTCACTATATATGCCCACAAATGATTGTTTGAGTACACAAGGCTACCTTTTGGTGTTTCATCAGCGCCAGCAATTTTCCAGCGAGAAATGAAAAACCTGCTTGGTGACCAGGCACGTTGTCGTCTACTTTGATGACATCTTAGTAACTGGAATGGATGACTCGCACCACATGAGAAATCTGGAAAAAGTACTTCAGCGGCTAACAAACGCAGGATTGAAGGTGAAGTTTGAGAAGTGCGAGTATTTTGCATCAAAGGTGGAGTATTTGGGACACCTGATCGACCACACAGGTCTTCACCCTTCGCCAAGTAAAGTGGAAGCCATTGTAAAGGCACCAACTCCAAAAGACACAAAGCAACTGCAAAGTTTTTTGGGCCTGCTAATTTTTTACAGAAGATTTCTACCCAATTTTTCAAGTGTCCTGGAGCCGTTACATCGGCTGCTGGGAAAAGGAGCACGCTGGGAGTGGTCAGGAAAGCAAGAATGCGTGTTCGAGCGAAGCAAAGAGCAGGTAACTTCTGCTGGTGTCCTTGCACATTACGACTTCACGAAGAACCTTGTGCTAAGCTGCGACGCTTCACCCTACGGAATTAGAGCTGTACTGGCGCAGAGGAGTTCCATGGGCGAGGAGAAGCCTATTGCGTTCGCATCACGTCGTCTGATGTCAGCAGAACAGAACTACAGCCACCTGGACAAGGAGGCTGTTGCACTCATGTTTGGAATAGCAAAATTTCACCAATACCTCTGGGGTCGACCTTTTGAAGCAGTCACTGACCACAAGCCCCTGCTGGGACTATTAGGCGCTGACAAAGGCATTCCCCCACAGTGTTCACCAAGAATCCAAAGGTGGGCCTTGAAACTAGCTAGCAACAGCCACGCCTTGGTCTACCGTCCTGGAAAAACTCTTGGTCATGCTGATGCGCTGAGTCGCCTATCACTGATGACTAAGAAATTCACAGTGCCAAAGCCCGCAGATGTTTTCATGCTGGAACGTGACTACAAAATTCTCTCCCCAGAAGTTATTGCGACAGCTACGGAACGGGATGCGGTGTTGTCGAAAATACGTGAGGTGCTATGGGCCGGTTCAACTTTTCCCGCTACACCAGAGTGGCAACCCTACGCTTCGAAAACGCAGGAGCTCAGCGTGCAAGACAATTGCGTGCTATGGGGTACGAGAGTAGTAGTTCCGAAAATTCTAACAGGAAGTGTGCTGGATCTCCTGCATGATGGACACCCAGGAATCAGCAAAATGAAGACGGTGGCAAGAAGTCACGTTTGATGGTATGGCATTGACGAAGACATTAAGGTCAAGGTCAACAGCTGCTCTGTGTGTCAGGAACACCAGCGAGCACCACAACCCGTGCCAACGACACCTTGGCCCTTTCCCGAAAAAGCTTCGTCACGCCTTCATATAGATTACGGGGGACCATTTCAAGGACGATATTTCTTAATCCTTGTAGATGCTTATTCCAGGTGGCTCGAGGTGATTGTCGTTCCCTCACCTTCGACGGAGGCAACGGTGAATTGTCTTCGATCAATATTTGCCACGCACGGATTGCCTGACCTGATCGTGAGTGACAACGGACCAGCCTTCACAAGTTCTGTGTTTGCGGAATTCCTGAAGAGGAATAGAATTCGTGGTATGGGGAGGATCCCCCCATATCACCCGGCATCTAATGGGGCTGCAGAGAGGGCCGTTCAGACAATAAAGAACAAACTCAAGAAAGCTTCTTCGGGAGATTTTCAGACAAAGATTTCACGAGCCCTTCTGCAATACCGCACAACACCTGACGGGATAACTGGACTAACGCCTGCGGAGGTCCTCATGGGACGGAAACCTAAAACTGCAATGGATTTGCTGCATCCTGATTTCCGTTTTTGGCAGGAAAGATGTCGAACTTCGAGCCGAAACTGTGTGTGGAGTAGTTGGACTCTCATATGTCATGTACAAATAAAAACCTTGGCGGAAATAAATACCCTTTCAGTGTCCCTTTAAGGGCAACTTATTAAGGAGTTTTAGAATAGCGCACGCTAACGCTTTGCGTGCGTAAAGAATAGAGTTGTCGCCACTGCGCATGCGCCGAACGCTAACCACGTTTTGCGCTTAGCATGCGCTATTTAGCTCACGCTATTTTTCGGAAATCGCGTGCGTACGTAAAGAGTTTGTGCGCTCCTCCAAAGTGTATTTGGAATGAGAAGTTGGCTAAAGCCAAGACGAAGAGTTAAAAAAATGGCGGCTCCCAAGACCATGGCTGCGACCGCTTTGGCGGCGTCGTGAGCGCGAAGTCGGCGCATCCTCGCGACTGCGATGTTTCAATACGGGACGACATTGCATTCGGTTTGGAGAAACCAGTAAAGAGGGCAACGATCACCGGCAACTTGGTGCTTCCGACGCCCGAACATTTCTCGGTGAGGTTACGGTGTGCGAAGGACAGTACACGAGACCTCACTTGTCCAGGCAACGCAGGCGGATACGACCGGTCGACCACTCGAGTCGCATTCTCCCGTTTAAACAAATCTTAAATGTTACTCTCGACCAAGACAACTTTTTTTTTTTTTCTCAAGTTACAGTGTATGAAGTAAAAATTGTTACTGTATCTTGGTGGTGTTGCAAGCGTGAGATGCTTGGGCTTTTGCGTCGCGGCGGAGAAGCACTATTCTAAGACTCTGTTGCGTAACGTGCGCTAAGCGCTAAATTTAGAGCTAGCGTGCGCTAAAAGTGCGTACGCTATTTTAAAACTCTCTATTAATTGAAAAAAACGCCATACGCCAATTATTTTTAGGAAAATACTTTTTAGTTTTCTGAAATGGCAGTTATTAGGTCAACAAAACACGTCTGGGCAACACTGCGCCCGTGACGTCACATTCGTCTGTGACGTCATATGTTTTAAACCCGCGCCTGCTTGCCCTCTGGTAGAGCACTGCATGCTTTGCAACGCTAGGCAAGGGGCAACTGAGACAGTACGAAAATCTTCTCTCTCGTATTTAATAATTAGCCATGTAGAACCTCTGAAACTATGGCCTTTCAATGACCTCTGGATATCAAACAGATTTCAAAAAGGAGATTATTGAATGAAAAACTTCGGAATTCTTAATTCACACTACCTACTGGAACATACACTATTATAAAAAAAACGGACGTTGTTGAATCGCTTCATAACAAATTTCACACTTATCTAATAGCTTAAATGGTTCTGCCAAGAAAACTTTAATTCGCGTGGTAATAGAAATAGAGTGTCATACTTTCTGCGAAAATATACTTGCCCTCAATAGCTGGTTCTTCAATCCCTGTTGGAAAATTTGCATTTTCTTGTCCTGCGTGAAAAAAACAACACTGGTGCTCGCATTAATGTTTTTCCTGGTGTTCCTAAGGCTTCACCTTTTTAGCTTTGAAGAGGCCCAGAAACAATATCGTAAAAAAGTGCGTTCTATCCCCTATTCGTTCATACTACCTCAGTTTGGCGGATATTAATATAAGTATTAAAATATCAATTTCTTGATTACAGGAAGGTTTCACCAGATAGCCCTGTATTTTCTTCCACGACATTTTCTACGTCGCGTTCTCGTGCATTAGTTTTTTTTTTTTTTTTTTTAATCTTCAAATACTTTAAGTTTTATAAATTTGCAGAATGTAGTGTAATCTGTGTCCAGGTTTCATAGCATTTGAAAAAAAACGAGAACTGAACATAAATAAAATAGTCCTTCGAGATTAACATTTGTAGCCTGTCGTCAGAACAAGTACATCTTTGTTGTAAATTTAACCTCTTAAACTCAAACATACTCGAAAAGAATGGCATTTAAGAGCGAACAGGACCCTGCATACTAAGTTACTTGGTTTTCTGACGTTGTTTATTTTCTCACTCTGTCTCGCTTAATTGTTCTCTAATCATATGCTTGCCTGCCAAATTCGCTCAAACATTTCTATAGAAACAGACTTATTTTTGGTCTTCACTTTGCATAATTACTAAGCGGCAAGATGCATGAACGTATACTTACCTCTCACAAATGCAACCTGTAACAGTGAACAATAAAACACGAAGTTCAACAACAAGTAAGAGTTGTGTAACACGTGATATAGGTTATTCAATGTTGATCTAGTGTTAATTTTATTCAACTTGGTTGCCCTATAGGAGGGCAGCCGCTAACGTGTGCAGAAGGCTGGACTATGTTGCTTTCTGACTCTTGCGCACATCAGGTTTAAGTATTGATCATTTTGGCAACGATTATGTAATGTCATATATATGTGCAAATGTGATCAAAATAAAATGTTTGACGTTTACTAGGAAAGATTTCTTATTGCTCGAGCGTATTACATCTGACTGCATGTTTCACTTGCAAGATAACAAAATTTAACGGTCCCTGTAAAGGTAGACTCTATTCAACATATGATAACAGTTCGTGTGTAGGATACAGCTGCGTTTTGCCAGTGGGGTTGCTTGTATTTTAAAGCTCTTGCCAAGAATGTATGAAAGAGAAGAATATTAGTTGATATTTGAACCAGAAACGTCAAGAAGCTTACCTGAGTTAGGAAGAAGGGTAACATTGGACAGACGATCGACATTATTTTTTAGGTATTCTTTGAGGTGTTTTAGTCTGAACAAAGATGAAGCAGCCACACAGTCCAGTAGTCTCGACGAACACTGTAATTAGGAGTATTTAATTAGGGTTCGTTTTTATCCAATATATTGGATCATTTATTTATTTACTCATTTAAGTACATCTAAAGGCCCCGGTGGGGCATTACGTACACAGGGGTACTGTAAGAAAGAGTTGAATAAATACACAAAATCTATCAATACAAAAAGCAAAAAAAAAAAAAATTAAGATGGATCACTCTATACCGATTATCAAAAGATGAATTCGCGATAAATAGTCCCAGATAGCACCAACACAAACCAGGGTGTCGAACCGTAACGGAACTGAAGCGTAACCGGAACTGCACCGCTTGTTTTATTGAACCGGAACAGAACCCCAAACAAAATGGTTGCCGAAATCTTGGAGCTGAACCCGCATCAGAGCAAAATGAAGGAACCGTTCCGAACCGGGTCGCGACAAGTCACAATTTATTAGCGAATAATGGGTGAGAAAGTGCTGGGCGCGGGAATACCTAATGCTGTGCCCTGTATCACGGGGTCACAGAACCTAGGTTTACGTAATTCCCAGGGTAATATTACCATCCTTGCACTTTCTCGTCCATTATCTGTTTGTGACTTGTCGGGGTCATGAAATTTGCGGAGCGTATTACTGATAAAAAAAAAACTGCAAAATGTTTAAAAAAAATGCTTGATTACAATCTGAACACCACAAGACATACTCCCCCTCCCCCCGCCCCCCCCCCCCCCCAAAAAAAAAAAAAGCAATATTAATAGTCTGAAACTCATTCCTGAAAAAGTTGCTATAACCTTACTCTAAGGTCCAGTAATGAACCCCCCCTTTTAGGAAAATTTAAATAAGTCTCATTCTGCTAAAATTGCATTAGTTTGTTTTTTTTTCTTTTTTTTTTTGGGGGGGGGGGGGGGGAGAGTGAGCATTTTGAGGTACGCAGATCTAATCAGGCTGTGTAAACAAAAAATATTTGCAGTGTTTTTTTAAGATATACGAAATTCGAATGACAATGCCGAAACATATGTTTAGACCAAAAAAACGCAGTCTGAGTTGTGACATTAAGCAATGCAAAACGTCACGCTTGCATTGCCTAATGTCACAGCTCAGACTGCGTTTTTTTGGTCTAAACATATGTTTCGGCATTGTCATTCGCTGAGCTGCCTCCGTAAGTTTCGGTGATTGGCTCTCCGAGTGTTTTGCGGGAAAGCAGACTCACATACTTTTTTTAGAGTGTACCAATAGGAGAAGTCGTTCTGATAATTGATATCTTTTCATTGCTGTAGTTTTGTGAAGAATTTCTGTTTAGCTCTTTCTGATATCAGTAAACGAGGGGGAAATCTCGTAACGGTTCCATTTTCTATCCTCTCTGTACTCCTTCAAGCATTAACAATTTAATCAATATTAAACATTTGGCTTCTAGCTGAACCAATATGAGCCGGTTCAAACCGGTTTAAACAGTTTTTTTTTTCATTTCGGAGCTGAACCTGAACTGACCCAAAATGTCTGAACCGTAACCGCAACCAGAACCGAAAGTGGTTTGGTTCGATCCCCTAGCTGGCACACAAAAAAAAAAAAAAAATCTAGTGGTGCTCTCAAGAGAGCCATTAACTTTCTTAGAAGCGGCAAGTTGTCGTTTTAAGTCACGCAGTAATTACACGAAATTATCGTGATTTCTCGCTAGAGCGCTATTATTTCACTTGCCTACTCAATCCACTCACTTATGGCGAACAAAATGGGAAAATTTTACCATTGTGACTTACGGACAAAATCTTCGCAGCCACGCTGGCACGCGTTAAAATACCTAGAGGAGTGCAGGTTGGAGCTCCAGCTCGTTATTCTGAGATGCGTCTCGGGGTCACCATGAATAGAAAGTGCTCGATGTACCCGGATGCGCTGGTAGTCTACGTTCCGCCTGCTATTTTAATACTGGACTGACAGGGATTAAACAATAACAGGAACTAGGCGGCTGCCTCTGGCGTCAAAAATGCGCGCAGGAAAATGCGGTCACCGACCATAGATTTTTTAATACAATGGGCTCTATCTTTTGCTCTCGTCAAGCACCGCATTACCGAAGGCCGCAGCTTGAGAAATTTGATTCTTTGTTATAAAACGCCTTTGGGAAACCATCTATAGTCAACGACAGCTGAAATAAACGCGGGGTGTGGCCGAATATATTTACGCTTTCCTGTTTCCTGATTGGTCCTTTCAATTGATACAGCAATATGATTGGTCGAGGAGCGATAATAAGATATTTGGAACTCGCCACATCCTGCCTCTCTTATGCTGCGAGTAATTATAAATAGGACTCAGTTGTTGTTGTTGTTTTTTTTTGTTTTTTTTTTGTAAATGCCAATAAACACCGATAATGGACCCGCGAGCCGATTTCACCAAAATCGGAGAGAACCGAAAAACCCCGAATAGACCGATACTATCAAGCGTTCGGTGCATGCGTCACGCCGTAA